ATCGTACATTTTCATAATGAAAATCAGTACAATGTAATTAAACAACGTTTTACAATTTACAGAAAACGGCGACCACTTATAACACAGCTACATACATTACATTCTATCACACGTTACAGTACATGTTACATATACAATTTAGCCTGAATTATTCAAGTTCGTCGCTTGAATCGTCTCTGGTCCGTAAGTTTGTCCAGTGTTCCCATTTCGTCCTTGACAATGTGTGATGACAGCTACCTTTAGCTCTCTGGGCTTAATTTCATATGGCGCCCTCTTCAAAACAAGTGCCACTGCTATACTTAAGTGTGATTTGACAGCCGCGGTGATTTGAGAATAAGCACTTACAGGAAGTCCAATACGTTTCCCCTTTTGTGCGGCTCTGGCAGCTGATACAGCTGATCTTGTATCACACTATGTAATACTTCTTCATTTGATAGCTGTTCATATGGCTGCTTGCCACCTTCAACAATTTCCCAAAGCGTTACTCCAAATGACCTGCAAAATCACCACACGACAAAGTCCAGTCAATGTTGTCGAAATGTTTTACTTATTCCTCCAAAGAAACGCCAACATGATGTTTAAATTTTAAAGAAGCCAAAGACAACCACTCTAACTCTTGTCACTTACCACACATTTCCATGGCTAGACGCAGGTTTAGTCAGCAGGCTTCCATCTTTCTGAATAACCACGCCCTCTGGTGCTAACCACCTGACAGGGATGGTGTTGGGCGCGTTTGGTCTATTATAGTAGTCATTCTGAAATAATTTGCACAGAAGCCTAAACTTTAGTAGCGTTAAACAAATACAGCGGGGACCAACGTTTTGCTCGACAGGAAAAGGACTAAACAACGCACTTGATATGACTGACACAGCCAAGCATACAACAGATGGGTAAGCTCTACTGGGCAAGAAAAGGAGAATTGAGAAGGCCTTGACAGAGCAAATGTTCACAAACCTTGTAAACGCATCTTGAAATTCCATAATCACCAATTTTTACAGACAAATCAGGAAACACGAGACAGTTTCGAGCAGCAAGGTCGCTGAAAAAAAAACCGACAAATCCATCAGTGACAAACATTTGTGACATATTTCATTACTTGGTCACCACCCTTAAAAAGGTAGAAGGTCAGCGAATGAAACACGTTTACTGCAGTCAGTTGTGCAGGACAGACACATTTTAGATAGTTAAGTTATTAAGTTTATAGCAAGTCTGCGTTTCTCAAATAGAGCCACTATCAAACGACATATTATGCTGCTATATCAAGCGTAACAATCCACGATCGATTTACAACAAACATTGGAGTATTCAGATCAAAAGAACTTACCTATGATAAAAGTAATTCGCATGCAAGCAGTGAAGACCAGAAGCAATGTCAATTGACATGCGCAGAGCCAACGGAACCCCTTCCCGCTTCTTGTCACAACGTTGTTCCAAAAGGAATTTTTTCAAATCTCCCTGTTAACGAACAAATACGAAAAGTACATTAAACAAAGTACAAATTACGAGCACAGCTTAGACCAAACGATTACTTACCACGGAAGAATGTTCCAAGATGACAAGGAAAGGCTCCTGTTCTGTAGTTTGTCCTAAAACACTTAACACGTTCTTGTGTTCAACACGCCTGGTGAAGATTAAAGAATAAGCACAAGCTTTATTTTGCACTCAATAGGGAACACGTAGCTCTGACTGGAAAAGTTACATGTTTCCGCAATTGCTTTGGCGCAACTAAGGTTTATAAAAACGACATTACTGATTTTTTTTTTTATACGGCACAATTACAAAGAAAGGTAGATGATTCAGAAACAGTGCACGCTACGAAAATAAATCAAATATTTCAAATCATTCTGATGCTGCATTTATCACTGGTCACAAACCTTAAAACATCCGTTTCTTTCAAAAAAACCTCCTTCATCTGTGATATGGAATTTTTTCGTAGCTCCTATTAACGAAAACGTGGTTAAAATTAATTTCTACGCATAAGTCAATTTCAAAGTTCACTCCAGTTCTTCACACCACAAGAAAAGTGAGCAGCAGTTAATATGAAAAGGTTCAAAATCAGGCGGGTGATAAGGGATACGAGAATAAGCTACTTACTTTAACAACCACCTTGGTCTTTCTCCAGCCTGTCTTTATGCGATAAGCGTCTGCTTCATACACCTGAACAGGAAACGAGAAATCCTTATAACAATTGAAACAATGGCTGACCAGGGCAAGTCCTTCACAAATTAATTGTATATCGAAGATTACATAACTTTTTTTGTTGCATACACTGTACGTAACATAACTTTTTTTATTCCTACATACATGATATAACAACTGTTTCAAACAACGTAACGGATTCAGTGATCAGTAAATGATTGAAGGCTATCCTGCATCAGTACACTACTCAGACAATAGAGACCAAATGATCGCACGAGGAACGATATTCAATATATAATTATACACCACATGCTTCGCGATGTTTGCACTCTACCGTCTGCCTTTTTTTTTTTTTGAGGTCTACTCTTGGTCGTAGTCAACTCTATCCTGAAAGTAAGCCTTACACTACCATTTAACTACCATTGAACGTTAATAATAGTACACTAAACCACCAACCTTTCCAAACCACCCTGTCCCGAGATCGGTCCCGAAAACCAAGCGGTCCCGCGGGAACATTTGTTTGTAAAGCAGACTGTAATCTAAAAATGAATTGACACAATTTTCAGGAAGTCTGTTCTTTCCGTCCATCGTGTAGCAATTTGTTTCATTGATGACGGTAGAGATGACACGCGCTCCAACAAAATAGTGGCGCGCGCTTGTAATGCTTCAGTCCACGCGCATACGTCTTTTACTGCACTTTGACTCGTTTATCATGATCCAGTACCCTGCTGCTTTTCCGAGATGCGGAGATTGCGCACTGAGATACGCCCTCTTCGCAGGGCAGTTAGGAGAGTTGAGAAGGGAAAACAAGACGACAGCGAGTGTGGTGATGAGAATTGTCCTGGTTTAGAGTTATATGGTGAACTCCGGCTTGGAGGAGCGCCTAGTGTACTATGACTTCAAGTCTAGTTCAGAACAATCGAATTAACCTAGAACATAACAATCTTATAATTCACATTTTCACTACTTCAATTCATTCCCAGTCTCTCAGTCTTAATCTCATCAGGATGGCTGGTACTGCCAGTGAGGTTCGGTCCACAATCGAAATTAGTAAAGCAACGGGTCACCTCCTCTTTGTAACCCCGAAATGAAACAGAACTCACACAACACGCGGAAATTTTAAGGCAAGAATATGGTAAGTCTAATTCCTTTACGCGCCTCTTAACCCCTTTCGAGTGACACAAGCAGCAACCTAAAATTCTAGCGTACCTTTTATTCCATCTTTATGACCATCCTCTGGGAGAGGTCTATAACCTAACACTGTGACTTGACCATCAGCCTTGTCAACAGACTCGGCTGAACTCTCTGTTATGGGGTTACTGAAGCCCATTATAAAATTATCTCGAGTTCCCTGCTCCTCATGTTTCATGGTGCGGTAACGGCCGCGAATAAAGGCGAGCTGAAACAAAAATTACAAAATTCACGATAAATTAATGGCATAAACGCAATTCCGGCTTCCTTTTGAGAAACACGAAATAAATCTAAAAACAAACGTCAATTTAGACAATTTAGCTGAGAAAGAAAATAATCCTAAGATATACTTATATAGAAAATACTAGAAATTGTATAAAATCTGCAAATAATTCTTGACACAAGCGCCAACTTACAATACCGCAAAAACATTATCTACTTCCTGTAAGGAAATAGCTTATGAGTAGTTGTCAAAATACAATAGATTTACACTGGATTGCGTCCTACATGTTATGACAACTTCTTCGCCATGAGAATTTTTTACAGGATTTATCTTAACTTCAATTTGAATAATGGAAATCTATACAATGGTTTGGTACTACAATAAGATGTTACTCTTTTCTAATGATGCAAAGAACCAAAGATAAAATTTCAGTTTTCAAGTAAAAAACGCTGAAAAGTCAGCTACAGGTATTTAATTATTAATTGGAAAAAATTATGTATCTTACACAGCTGCATCGAACAAGTAAAGTTAAATGTATCATGGTGACCGTAAAACTAAGTCAAGTCAACGATTTACTTTAGCTCTGCCATCTTCAAATCATTGAGAAAATAAATTAAGATGGATCTAAAACGATGTTCATGCATTGTATTTTAGTTGTGCAATGTTTTCTGGTATTGTTGTTTCCTTGAGAGGCTTCGTCCTTGCTTTGTTTTTAATTGCGAAAACTGTAAATGAGCGCAAACCAAACAATTCACAAAAACCCAAAACAGCATGTCTTGAACTAAGAGTAAAGACCAAAGGTTAACCATTAACAGTTTTAAAATGGAAATTCAAACATACCGGACACATCACTTGATCGAACGCATGTAAAGAGTTTCCTTTTTCATTCCAAACTTAGAGTTAACGAACTCATCCTTAGCGAGTTCCCCAGTAGTTTCGCTCTAACAAAATGTTCAAACGTGCTCAAAATATCAAGATCCAGGAGCCGCATGGTGACATTCTGTTGTCAATTTTCGTTTCTAAGTTCAGCTCTTCTGACACAAGAAACCCCAAGAGTTGTTCACAAAGGCAATACACAGAAACACCTGTTTTCACCTTGGTTCACGAGAAAACAGACGAATTTAACGAACATGAAGCGAACGAAGCCAAAAACAACGCTTGTCGACGGAGAGGAAATAAGTCCGTCCAAAACAAAAGCCTCACACAAATGCAAATTGTTTAACAAGAATGAAGTTAAGAAGTGGCCTGGTTCTGTTTGTCTGTTGATTAGCAATGTAAATTGTTTGCATTCCACGGTCTTGTAATCTCTTCTCCTGCGAGACCCGGGAAATCAACGCAAACTATTTAAATATAAAGGAGTATATTTGAATTCACCGAACGGCGATTGACGCGTTGCACAAAAATCAATAAAAAGTTATAACTGTGGTGTTATTTACTAGTGCACTGACAAACAACAAACACAAAAAATATCTACCACCACCCAAACTATGTATGTTGAAAGATACAATTTTGTAAAGGAGCAAGCGCGAGACAAAAATGGCAAAAGCAAAGTAATATCAGCTATAGCTCTGTGTTGTGCAAAAATGGCCAGGAAAGGGCGTTTCTTGAAGAACGTTTTTTTAACAAGGGATGCACGCAGGAGGTTGCTAAGTATGAAAGAAACGTAAGAGTCGCATGAGGCGATAGCCGAGTGCTGCCCTAGCTTCTTGAGTGCTTAGCAAACCTCCCAAGTGCATCCATAACTCAATAGTGTACAGCTGTGGCGTTTACCATTTTCTTTACAACATAACATTGACACATAGGAGCAAAAGAAGTCCTTTTATGGGCAAATAGTAGGCGATGAATTAACCAATCAGAACTTTAGTTATGTTATAAACAGGCTTAACTGATTCAGGGTATGTGGGGAGAGCTGAAGAGGAAAACGGCCGGGGAAAAAGATGTAAGTAAAGGAGATGGCAAGGGGAAGAAAGGGAAGAGGTGGAACACAAGCAAATACTCTCTGGTACGGAGAAAAATATACAAAACTGAGAAAAGTTGATGGCAAAGTGCACGAGTGTCAATCATAAAGATAAAACACGTGTCGGACCTAAACGCAACTACGAAGGTTTTAGGCACAAAAAAATTTCCCGAAGTTAACCTCATGGTAGCAGCCCTTATTTTAGTTTGTTTGTTTGTGTAAACCTTACCTGTTCGTCAGTAAAGAGTGAGAACGCCTCAGAGTCCTGAAACGGGGTGAGGGGTGAGAGGAAGGGGGCTAGAGGTGGGGGGTTAGAGGTGAGAGGCATTGCCATGACCATTATCGAAAGCTAATCTTACAAAAAGCAAACCAAAAGGTTATTCAAGTTAGCTGGACCTTTCACCCCTCACCCCAATTTTAGACCCGTCCTCCTAAACAAATATCAAACCTTTTTGAACACAACTATGAAGCAACCACAACTGCCGACTTATGAGACTTAATTCCACTGCGCATGATTCTTAACGTGCAACACTTGCATATAATGATAAACAATTATTAGATGAGGTTTTCGTGATATCCACAATAATCAAGGTCGATGTAGGGGTTATCAGCCAAAGCCAAAGGCATGGAAGTCATGTTTTTGCTTCTTCACTAATGGCAAGCAACACAAAGCGCACGAGCTTGACATGATTACCCTCAGAAATCATGCACCACAGTCATACATGAGTTGGTTACCCGTGACCTTGAGTGTCCTTGACATGATTACTGTATAATCTGCAGCTAGATGTCACAGGCGCTGATTTCGAAAATTCACTATACGCTTTCAGCCAATCAGAAAAGAGATAGTGAGTTCAATATATGATAATAACAATAATAATAATTATTATTATATTACATGTATTACTATTATTATATTATTATTATTATTAAATATTATTATCACTATTAATAATTATTATCATCTGAATACCTTGGATATCCAGACAGGTCCAGAGGTTCGTCTGTAGTATCGATAAATCAACAATGCGATAACCAGTGCTATAAACACAGCACTTGACAGGAGCATGGCCACCAGGGTAGCGGTGTTTAGTGTGTCACCCATGCTGTCCACACTGACAGCTGCTGATGATGGTGTGAGAGTGGTCCTGTTGTAGCTCAAGTCTACCATTCTGTCAGTCTGGTTTACAAGTATTAAAACAAAAGGAAGAATTAATAACCAGAATACAGGCTCAAAAGAATTGCTAGTTATGGATATTCAGGCCAGACTAACATGACTGCTGGTTTGATGTCATGTTTGTTTGTTATTTTCTATTATTTTTGCTCAATTTAAACAATAGTTTTGATTTGCTCTTAATTATCAGAGCACAAACTGCTCATCTACAGAGCATAAATTGCTGTGTACACTTACTAAAAAAAAAAATCATGGTTGGGGAGAAAATAATATAGTAACCATAAGCACAAAAAGGAAGAAAAAAAGTACAACTATGAACAGGGTTTAATTGGGAGATAAATGACTGAACAGAATAAAACAAGTTTTACATTAACTAAAGATGAAAGTGGATTCCAGGAGCTCCATTTAGCCAGTTAATATTTCTCTTATTCTCTTAACCCTTGTGTGCATGCTACTTTGCATCATATCACATGATACACGAAATGTCTGCATCTGGCCTGGTGGCCCATACAGCCAGAGCTTACCCCGATTTCTGTAGCACTAAGCGGCTTGAAGTATATCCCCCTGGATAGAAAGCTAGTCCACTGCTGGCTTACCCTTTAGCAATAAATTCACTAGCACCCATTTATACACTTGTGTGGAGAGAGGCATGGTGAAAGTAAAGTGGCTTGACCAAAACCAAACTGCAAAGACCCAATGCCTCTAGCCCCAGCCAATAAGCACCCTGTTTCTTATGAGCACTCGCTTATTAGTTCCACTTTCTGCCACGGTCATTAATGAGAAAGTACTAGTGCCCCTTCCATAAGCCCTGACATTCCAAGACATTCATTCCAGACAATGATTAACATGGAATCAATGAAGAAGGGGACATGGGATCCCTCTGAACACTGCAACGCCGCAAAAATATCAACAAACACCACATCATCACAAGAAAATCTACGAAATACAGTCACTGCACCGCAACAATAAATATTTAGCTCCATGATTTGAACATCTACACTTGTAATTATACTTTTATACCTCAACAATTTTCTACAAAATAAACACATCACAACACTTGTCAAATGCCTATGGGTCGACAGGGCTGTCATTAACACCTGTTACGGCTGAGTATGTTTGATTTTCCCTTGATGCTATGGGTGAAATTACCTGTTGTTGATAGAATTCACCCATAAAGTAACAAATTTGCTACGGGTGTGGAGAACAAGGCTTCAGACGACTAAAAACTTAATGACAGACCTGGTCGATACTGCTGGTGCCTGTAAATCGTTTCTTGTTCTTACTGGTACATTTCGTTTGTATGAACATGACAGAGAGGTTGACTCAAAAAGCCACTGCTGCCAAGTGATAAAACAACCTTTCCAGGAAGTTGCATGTCTTAACAGTAACAAGTATTGTCATAGACTGAAATAAACTTCACAGTTCAGTTTCTTTAATTTTGGGCGATAATCATTTTGAAACAATCATGTTTGTATGACATTATCAGAAATGAAAAAGCCGAAAAACATTTCTAATCATTGAATAAGGTGATTGTTGAATTGTACAGCTCTTCCAAATCATGACCTTAAACCTAGCGGAAAGATTGTGGAGCTCCCGATTTCTCCATGTTGGTAGTTTCAACTTTCGTAGTACCAAAGACTGAAGTCCAGGTGGCAGAGCTGAGGTCGAGTTACTTGACAATGAAGTTACATATATATGAAAACAACTTTGGAAACAACTGGAGCATATTGAAGATTAACTCCTGGCATAGTAAACTGAACCCAGTTGAACTCAATCGAACTCAATCTATGGATTGAGTTCAGCAATCTAACTAAACCAAACTCACACAAAAAAGTGGGGAATCAAACTCAATTGAACATTATTTTGATTTCCGAACTCTTGATTTCTGTAGAACTGGTGTTTGAGGTGTTAAAAAATAACAAGTTTTTTTGAGGCTTGAGTTACTTCAGTAATAACTTCAGGGAAAACAAACAAAAAACAAAACTAATGCATTATTATCACACCTGCCTGTGTGGCAGCTAGAAATTTGCTTAAGTCTATACTTTTACATGAAATTAAGTGATACTTCAATAAATTATATATTGTGATTTTTTCAATTGCAAGTCAACTTACAATGGCAATGGTGCCATAATCCTGGACATAGTAATACACAGGGATAGTGCAGATAGCTTTGTTCTAATCTGTTCTTTTCACTGCGTGGACAGTCTATTTTTGTTATTGAATATTCAGTAATAAAAGGACAAGAGAAATTTGTTTTCAGTGGGCATACTTTGTATGCAGGTCTACCAGAGCTTACGCACAGTAACCAAGAGGGCAGTCAGACCACATAACATGACCTTTGCTCAAGCCAGTTTATTCACCAAACACAATCACATCCAATAAATTGAATTTGATTGTGTTCAGTTGCCGAACTGAATCGAAAGTAGTCTAATGGATTGAGTTTGATTAGGTTTGATTTATTCGATTGAGTTTGATTGGTTCAGAAATCAAACTCACACAAACTTCTGTGTTCAATTTGGTTCAACTGCCAATCCACGGATTGAGTTTGCCTGAGTTCAATTTCCAAACGTTTGATTGACTATGTCCGGTGAACTAAATAGTTTAAAATTTGTGGTCTGTATTGGTTACTGACAAATTAGACACAATGGTACATGCGTGTAATAAATTAGTACAGAACGATTAATAAAGCTACATGCTAAATTTAGGTCTGAAAAAGATTAAACAAGAAACCACAGCACCGCAAATAATTTCATTTCACTGAACACCTTATGGTGATGAAAACAAAAACGTTGCACACCATAGAGTTTGAGATCACCGCAACACCACAAGGTGGGACTTTATTCACCTCATCCCTGCATCAGAAAAACAATCAACACCACAACACCACAAAGCCCCATGATAATATGTCCCCCTGGATGAAAAGCACAGAATTGTGTACCTGTAGTCTGGTTTATTATCTGAATGTGAACATATTGATTAGGAATAATGAAGCACATTGTGTTGTGACTATACAATTAGAGCTGCTGTTACATTTAAGCGCTGCATCACATTCATGAGTCTATGTCAAAAAAAGAAGTAACCACCCAATCCCTGATAAGTTCCCTACCTTGGGCCAACTTGAGTTACAGTATGAATTTCCTTTACATTATTTAAAAAAAATTGTCAAAAGTAGAGTACAGTACTAATTAAAATAGAATCTCAATGTCTATGAACATGATTAAGCCGCTCATTACGGGCAATTTTCTTTGTTCCAAAGAAAAGCAAAATTAATATATATTTTCCCTTGAGTCTGCTCAATACGGACACCAGTTAATATGTACAACAGACACATTTTTCTGTCCCAAGAAATACAACACAACAGAAATCAGAAATTACAGTAATTCTAGGGTAGTCAATTACTAAAACTCGATATCCACCGACACTGGCGAAGTTTTGAAGTTATTGATTTTATCACTTTCACCGGATTCATTGACCAACTTTGTTTGTTAGTTTACACTGTATCTGTCGATGCAGCAATTGATTGTGACTTTTTCATTGTGGATTTCGTAGATGTGCACCACAATGAAATTAAGATCAATCAGTAAATTTCAGGGTCACATTTTGACAAGTTCAAGTCCAGGAGTTCACTCCGAGGAGGAAGTAAGTTTATCAGGCCACATTACGTTTTTATGCAATTTTACTGATGATTTTATTTCAATACATAACTCTCAATAACTATGCCATGTCATTTGGTGATTCTTGTCTGCAACTTTCCTCAACTTGGTTTTCAAACCAATTCTTGTTTCCCTTGGAGGTTCGAAGACTTTGAAAAATCAGCTAACTTCCAATGTATGAACCGAATGACAGTAATTATCATTATCGTTCTCTGATCTGTCGTTTTTTTAAGGAAGCTGCTATTAGAGGTTTTTGCCCGCTTGTTTAATTTATATCTTCTGCTGCAAGTTTCATTTCGATAAATGTAAGATAAGCTAGAATTGATAAATTCAATAATTTTATTGATAAAATCATTACTTATTGATTACTCACAACGAGTCCTCTTATCAATTTTCATTGATTTTTGATATCAATGACTAAGTTTTATCGACTGTTATCGAATATTATCGATTATCAGTTTTATCGATTGACTACCCCGGAGTAATTACGATAATTATGATTTCACAATGTAACCAACAACCCAGCATGTTTACGTGCAACCCAGCTTGAACCAAATAAATTAAAACCTAAATAGCCATTCAAAAAAACAAAAACCAATTCACGATCCTACAGCTAGGGAATTTACAAGTCAAAGGTTATCAATAACAACGTTAAACGAACAATAGACAATGCGTTGATCCCATTCGAACGTGATTGAATTTCTACTCCACCATTTCTTTCTTCAATCACCCGCTCGATACTCAATACTCGACATCCCTTCTCGTCATAATTCGTTTTCAAACGTCTCAACAGATATTGAACTAAGTTATTCGAGTGGGAAAATACTGAAGATCATAAACTGCGAAGGAATATTACTAAAATTTATAACAATATCGCTACCTACCTGGATGTTGACACCCTCTTCGTAAGACGATCTCCCATCACGTCTCACTTGGTAACATTTATTTTCCTCTTCCTCAACCATTCGAGGCGTTTTCCTCCATTTTAGCTCGAAATGCGAGTGGTTGTGTGTAAGATCTAGTGGATCATAACGGCTGAGCTTGTCGTCTGCAAGTTGGAAGGAACGTGCAGCACCTGTGTGCGGTTAGCATGAAACGAAAGGGCCAAGATCATAGAACCGAGTGTCAAATTGCAATTGTTAAAACACAAACATGTCAAATAGGGTGAGCTCAACTTGTCACGTTGCATCAGAATTTTCGATCTGAAATATATTAGTTTTCGAACGCCCTTCGGCGTTGTTTATGATCACCTTGTACATGTATAACTCCAAACATTGGAAAGTGCATGTATAAAGCAAATTTTACTGCATCTTGTAAGTGGGAAGAAGAAATAATCTGAAATGGATTTTGTTTTTGCAAAAAATAATTTTTCCTAAAAGTTTTCCTTGTGGTTGCATGAAGCAATATAGATTAACTACCTTAACTTCCTGTATTCGTGCCAAATGACCTGATTTTATTCAAAACAACACAAAGATGAAACTGCTTCACTGCTGCTTGAAAAGAAGAGCATTGAGGGTTTATTATTTTTTTAAAACACAACTTAGGATTTCTGAAGCAAAGGTTGTTACTGAAACCGAAGTTTGCAACGTGCGATTGAGCTGAGGGTTAGTGAAAACGTGTCCTGGCGTGACGCGAGGAACTTGTTTTCAAATGGTTCTTAACGAGTTTACACTCTCTAATATCTCAATAGCTCCTCAAACACCCAAGAATGCGAAAATATAGCCTGAAATAATCTGTAAAGTGACTAACCTATCATCATTTCGTAGAACACAGCGCGCATTCTCTTTCCAATTGTGCTTATCTTCTCGCTTTCTTTAGATTTGTGTCACGCGGGAGTTATTCGCGATTGTTCTTTCCACGAGAAAAACCTGATTAAAACTGGCTAATCAGGACGCAAAAGTCTGTTCTTTTGTTCTTTGATCAAAAGGAGTGATGCTCCGTGGAACAAGTTATGAAATCATATGCTTACTGTTTCGCCCCGAAATATTTTTGTTTACAGAAAAATATATTCAGAATTTAAATCAAGGCACACCGTCAAGGAGGCCCTTGAGAAATTAATTATTCCACGTCCGCATCCGGCCAACACGAAAACAACATGACGTTTCATCGCAGCTGCTGGTAAAATCATGACCTCAAATACGAGTTTGCCAGAAACCCCAATAAACACTTCAAATTAATGTTATTGCATTTTCCGAGAAGTGCAAAATAAGCTTGAAAGAGAAAAATAAATATTTCCTCGAAATTAAATCCTTGAAGAGTTCCTCAACAGGAATTTTTTTTGTACAAAACTATTAGAAAATGAGTCTCTCTGGTGGTATTTTCCCCTAGCGGTTGTACATAGTTTGGAACGTAAAATTCAATTTTCTTTTTTCCAGGCCGGGAGTTTGGGCCGTTAGAGCGACGCAATCTCAAGTGGAAGAACTGAAATTTATCCCAGTAGACACACAAAAGTAATGCCCCGGCCATGGGGTAGGGTGGAGAAGGAAAAAAATAGTGAAATTCAACTAGCTGAAAAGACCTGACCATATTTCACTTCAGCAATTGAGCACATTTTTGCAACTTGGAAAAATCCCCAGACTTTATCTTTATTTCCCCCACTTAATCAGGCTTTGGAAAGCAAGTTAGCAGATTCCATGAGGGGGGGGGGGGNAGCAAGGGGGGGTCTTGTCACGAAGTCACGATAGTAAATTTTCGATTTCACGAATCACTAAAGTCACGGAAAAAAACTGATCACAATGCAGTGAAATTCAGCCACGAATTCAACTATAGACATTCACGATTTATTTCTTATCTATTCACGATTCACAGCCAAGGACTTTTGCATTTCACGACTCACGGAATACACTTCAATCACGATTCACGGAACAGCTTTTTATCAAATCACGATTCACAGAGCACAAAAAAACCGGATCACGGCGTCACGAAAATGCCCTTGCCCCCCTTCTTCCATGCCTGTTCTAGATTTTCAGGCTCCTTACGAAATTTGTACGTGTGACACCATAATGTATTTTTCTGAAACTTTTTTACACACTCTACAAATTGTTTTTTATTTCGCTCCGTGCGTACCGTTTTCAGCGGAATAGATTACGGGATGTGAGATCAGAGGCGTCTTAAAGACCAACTTATCCGGGAAGCGGGGATTTGTCACTTGCACACACTGTGAATGTTGAACAAACTGATGATTGAGTACCGGGATTGCGCGTGATTCCTTTTGAAATAGAAAGTTGGCATTGTTTAATACCGTCACGATTTCTCATGGTTTTCAGTTTTGCGTTAAGATCCACTATATATAATAGGAATAGTTCCGAAAGTACTCAGGAAATTACTTTCGGTTTGGTTTTATTACGGTTTGAGATTGGCCGAGTAAAATTGGTTTGGTTTTGACACTCAATGTTGAAAACTGCCCCAACTTTAACTAAATTGAATAAACTAATGCGTCGAACCAGTGTGAGTGTTCAAATCGCTCAACTTGATCAGCTGGCTACCATATTAATAATGTTGTTCGGAGGAACAGAGAATTCTACTAAAAACCTTATTTTCCAGCACGTTGACTCAACCTCCAAGGTGAGCTACGTAAGAATGCCAAGTTACTTTTAATGTAAGTACGCCCTAGATGCCGTCAGCTGTCAGCTTGATCAAGTACCTGGATGTAATTCTACAAAACGTTACTGTACTTACCCCTTTTTCGTCTAGAGTTTCAGCAATTCGTCGCATTGTCGACTTGGGTCGCTATTACGAGAAAAGGGTCGCTACAAGTCGCCATCTTGAATAGTAATCCAGAATCAGTCGTACCCAGATTCTTTAAAATGACTCTTTCTTTTGCTTTATCAGTTTGACCAGAGGCATATCACCTAGTCTAGGTGATATGCTTCTGGCTTGACGTAATGATATAGAGCGGTTTTCAATTGAGAAAATTGCATAAGCATCAGTGTCGTAAAACCAAAACCAAACCAATTAGACTAATCAGTCAATTTCAAACCGTACTAAAACCAAAACCAAAACCGAATTGCCTGATTAATTTTGACACTTACTAAAACCGCTCTAGGTTAATCAGCCAATCTCAAACCGTAGTGAAACCAGAACCAAAATCGAAGTAATTGCTTGATTACGTTCGACACTCATTTGAAAACCGCTCTACTGGTTATACCAAAGAGGTTATACCAAAAATTCCATTGCATTCTGCCTCCTGAATTTAAGCACCTCTCCTTCATAAGTCCTCCCTCTTAGGTCGTCTACTACCGTCGTCTGTGCGCCTACAAAACTAGTCCAGGTTTTTATTGTATTTTTAATTTATTTACCTTTTTACGCTGCTTACAAAAATAAATACGAGGCACACAAAATCACTCACGAAAATGGCGTAAGGAGACCTCCACTGCGGAAACCTCGACCCAACAAGGTCTGTCACGTGATCTAATTATACCCAAACTGAATCCTTGAACTTTCCGATTAGGCTATACCTTATTACATGAAATTTTCGCGACACGTTAATTTCGCGAATTTCGCGATTTACAAAAAAATGCGAAATTTAAGTGACGCGAAAATTTAATGTCGCGAAATTAACATGACGCGAAAATTAAGTGACTCACATTATGTCAATAGTTCGTATAGTGTGATCGTCCGGGTGAGTGTAGTTCTGAAAAGAACTGTTGTTGATGACTGACGTTTC